TTCTGGAAGTGGTCCTCGGGCTTGTCGATGCTGTCCCGCTGGTCGCTGTTGGTCTCGTCTCGGTCTCCTCCTTCTTTTTGCTGCTGGTCTTGGTCGTTCTGGGCTTCCATCCCTTGATCCTCGCCTCCTCGTCCTTGAAGTCGTTGAGCATGTTGATGACCTTCATCATCCCTGGAGCTGACTGTGGGTAGTACTCGAGGTGCACCTTGCAGCCGCAGCACTGCACCCAGAACGCCCCACCGTTGCCGCCGTGGCCCGTGAACTCGTGAACGCACGCCGTCTCTCGAGCTGGATCGTGATCTCGAGCCTGCCTCGGGTTGCTGGTGGACAGGGGCCCTGGTTGGGGATGTCCAAGAACCTGCAGATCATTGCTCCCGTTGGCGGTCTCGATCGGTTGTCTATCTCGTGCCACGGCCACTGAAAAACCTTCCCTCTCTCTGGGTTGTCCCTCACCTTCGGGTCCTTCTGGGGATTCACAGGCGTCGCCGCGGCCTCTGTGGCCTCCGCCTGACCCGCAGTCGTTGGTGGCCTTCGCGATGATGAAGGCTGCGAGCGCCGAGTAGAGGTACTTGGGAGCTCGTCGCATGACATGGATATATGGAGAAATACTGGCTGAAGAGATTCTGGGGGAACCCGTCCGTGAAATCTGACTCGAGCCGAGCCAGCTTTGGGGGATCGCACGTGGTTTATCTCGCAGTTTACGTTTGGGAACCTCAGCCACTATGTCATTGCACTTGTTGCTCTCTTTGCTTGGCACTCCCCTTAGTGCTCGTGCTAGTGCTGCTATTATGTGTCGAGTGCTCGTCCTACGATCTTCTCTTACCCGTTGTTCAGGTTGTTCTGAAACCGCCGTAGTGCCCAAGACGCCCGAGAAGTAGCAGCTTCCGATCTTCTGGGGCCTCTCGAGGTCTTTGGGACCAGACGTAGATGATAGATGGATGTACTCCGAGCTCGTTCCGAAGTCCATCGAAACCTCCCTCGAGCACAGAGTCCAGCTCTCAGGCTTCTTCCACGGGCGCACGAAGTTGTCGAGCTGCAGCAGGAAGTGCTCACCTCCAGCGTGGGCCAGAGGAAGTCTGACGTTCTGCTCTGGCAGGTCCAACTCCGACTGGAACGCGTGTAGTGACGCCTTCAGCTCCACGACGAACGTCTTGGAGAGCAGTAGCGGCGCCGCGCCCTTGACCAGGCACACGAAGATCACCCCGCTGAAGTGGCCCAGCATGATCGGAATGAACACGCCCTCCGTCGCCGTGCAGACCTGGTCGTTCCCGAACCTGTGCTTCTTGTGGTAGGGCACCGTCTCCAGCGTGATGCTGTGCACGTCCTTGTAGTGCTTGGCCCAGGCGTCGAAGGTGACCAGGCCCATCATGTTGAAGCCGCATGCCGTGTCGACCGCACCCCAGCCTGGTCTGCCAGACTTCTCGATGTCGATCGCCAGCGTGACGTGCTCCACCATGTTGGATCTCGCCGCCATCTTCGCCTCCGTCGCCACGTAGCTGCACACCTCGTCGTCCTGGAGCACCGTCATCGCGAAGAAGCCGCCCGTCGCCCTGACCTTGTTCTTCGGATTGTCGGGGCACTCCTTGTGCCAGTGACCCAGCTTCTTGCAGATGCCGCACTTCGTCCTCTTCTTGATGTCTTCTATCTTCTCCTCGGTCCTTTTTCTGTCCTTGATGTTGTGGAACCCTCTGTTCGTCTTCTTGTCGGCTACGATCTTCCGAGCTTCACCCCATGTCCTGGGCTTTGGTGGTGGCCCGACCAGCGCCGCCAAGCAGTCCAGCGCCTCGGCCTCCGTGAGAGCCTCGCCGTTCTCGAGCTTGTCGTCTGGCTCTTTGTCGTCGTCTATGCCCAGCAAGTTCGCCATCGCGTCGTAGATGGGGTTGTCCTCGTCCTCGTCTTCAGTAGCCTCCTGCGGCTCCTCTTCCCGAACTCCCGCCAAGTAGGAAGCCGTTCTGGTAGTCGAAGTCTTCTCCGTGACCGTGTTGTCGTCCGTCATGCGCTTCAGGATCGCTACCAGCTTGTTCACGTCGTAGTCGTAACCCGTCTGGATGAGCACTTGGTTGCGCTCCGTCTTGGCCAAGCCGGCCCCTCGAAGCAGCAGGAAGCCCATGACCGTCTCGTTGAGCGCGTTCGGTAGCAGCCTGACCAGCTCCTTCTGTTCCGAGCGGATCCTGTTCGTGAACTTCATGAGCGTCTCGTCTCGCGCTCTCGGTGCTGCGAACAGCGTTTTCTCGAGCTGCTGAAACGTCTCGGCGTCCGCCTCTGGGAAGGCCAGCGTGTCCAGCGCCATGATCACCGTCTGCAGACCTCCAGCGAACTGCACACTTCCTGGTCGAAGATGTCTCGTCGCCGTCGCCGCCTCCCTCGTCAGGTGCAGCAGCAGCGTCTCGCCCTGCTCCTCAGGTGGGACCGCCGTAAGTCGGCTCCACCTGTCTATGGCCAGCCTCTTCTCGGGCCACTCGCTGAGATCCTTTCCGTCCCAGGCTGGACACGGTGGATCTTTTCCTCTGCGTCCTCCTGGTGGTCGTCGTCCTCCGTCTTGGTCTTCGTCCAGTTCAAGTCGTCCTCGATGGAAGCCTACCGCTTTCTTGACCTGCTCTGGCGTGCCGAAACCTCTCGATCGTGATGATCTGTCCGACTGTGTGTCCTCGTGCTCGTATCTGTCGTGCTCGTACCTGTCGTTCTCGGGCCAGTAGTCATCGTTATAGCCGTCGCTTGCCCACTGCCAAGCTCCCCAATCGGCTTCTCGATGTTTGGTCCATGAACTCCAAGGGTCCCACGAGCTGCTCTGCCGTGTACTGTTCTGAATCCGATTGTTGTCGTCCCCGTTGTCGTCATCCACGATTTCCCATCTCTGCTTGCTGTCGTGACCGCTGTCGTTGCCGTCGCTCCGCTTACCACATGTGGATGGGCTCCTGGTTCCTCGAGGCCTCTCGGACATCTTAGAGGGTAACGTACTTTGGGGACATGAGACTGATCGGATCCTTTTCAGTACCCAGCGCGCAAGCTCCTGAAAGGGGGCCGCCAGGCCCCCTTTCCCTGAACCGAAACAGCAGTACAGGAAAAAGGGTTCAGGGGTTCTGGGCTAGGCTGTACAGGCAACTAGAGGGCCCAAGGTGGCTTCTTGGGGGTCCGCGGGCCTCTAGAATCACACCTACTACGCATTTCGCATCCTGGACGACAAAACAGGCCATGTTGAGAAGAAATTTGAGTTTTGTTTTGTTTTTTGTAGTCAGGATGGGAGGGCCCGGATTGACGTCCCCGCGCGGTGTGCGCCGCGTCCCATTCTTGCCAGGCATTTCGCATCGTCGACGACAAGACAGGGCATGTTGAGAAGAATAATGGGGACTGGTATACACTTATAGTCAGGATGTGACCCCCTGGATGGGTCTGGCTATCGGCCGGACAGGGGGGAGTAAGAGTAGGTATTATCATAAGGAATAAGGATAGGAGTGGGAGGAGGAAGAGGAGGAGGAGGAGGAGGAGGAGGAGGAGGACGAGGACGAGGGCGAGGACGAGGAGGAGGAGGAGGAGGAGGAAGAGGAGGAGGAGGAGGAGGAGGAGGAAAAAGAGGAAAAGGAGGAAAAGGAGGAGGAGGAGGAGGAGGAGGAAAAGGAGGAGCGGGTCGTCTCGCAGGCTTCTTGGGCCATCTAGGAGCCACCTTGAGCGTCTTGGACCGATTGCGTAGCGATTCGGAGCACCTTTGGCCCGTCTGGGCGGGGTCTTGGAGGTCTCTCGGCCCGTCTTGGGCCCCTCGTGGCCCCGGAAAAGTCAAGCGCCACCACTCGGGGGAACCCAGGGGGACCGCGCCAAGCCCCAGGAGATTTGAGAGTTTGGGGTCTGGGCCCCCGAAAGTCTCCTCAGCAGTGAGTGCTGAGGCTCAGGGGATCGAGTAAAGGACCTGCGGACACTCCAACTCGTGCCCGAGAGCACGGTGGCGGATATTTGTGCGGACGCACACAACATCAAAACATGTACTACGCACAAACATGCGGGTATAATGGCCTTCGGCCCGTTCCGCCACACGGCCTGTGTTGTGTGCCCGAGGCCTCTTCCTTTCGCGCTCTCTTGATGTACCTTTCGGAGGCCTCCTGAGGGCATCTTGGGAGTCCCTTGGGGGCCTCTCTGGGGGCTGTGCACACCAGCCCTGGGCCCAGGATCGGCCTGGCCAGGATCTCGGTGTATTTACGTACAGGCGTTCTGGCGAAGATCATCGCGCCTCGTGCATCGCGGCCTGGGCCAGGGGGCGACGCGAGGGCGCGAAAGCGCGAAGGTAATCGCGCGTCTTGCATCGCAGGGCGCGATGCGCGGAGCGGGGTGACCTACTGCAGCTTGTGGGCGCCGCCAACAGTCGGAAGCGCGGCCGCGGCGGCATCCGCGTGCCCCGCGCAGATCAAAAGGGCGGCGGCGGCGGCGGCGGCGACGACGACGACGACGACGACGACGACGACGGCGGCGACGACGGCGGCGGCGGCGACGGCGACTACGGTGACGGCGACGGCGACGATGACGACGACGACGACGACGACGGCGGCGATGGCGACTGAAGGCTCGACTCTGCGGCGGCGGGCACACGAATGTGCGGGTGCCACCTGCCCGCGTCTGCCTTCTCTGCGCAGTTCGCTGCCACCGCCCGCTGCCGTCGTCGCCTTCGTCGCCGCTCGTCCCGTTGCCGCCGTCGCCGTCGCCGGACAGCTCGGATAGCAGATACCTGTAAGGATTTGCTCCGCAGAGCGCGCATACCTATAGTGATCTGCTACGGCAGATCGCCTTCCTCCTTTTCCTCCACTTCCTGCTCCTCGTCCTCCTCATCCCTCATCCCTGCTCCTTCTCCTCCCTCCCGTCATCGCCGCTGCCGCCGCCGCCGCCGCCGCCGCCGCCGCCGTCGTCGTCGTCGTCGTCGTCGTCGTCGTCGTCGTCGTCGTCGTCGTCGTCGTCGTTGTCGTCGTCGCCGCCGCCGCCCTTCTGACCAGCGGCACCGGGCCGCCCTGCGCGGGGCGCGCGGATGCCGCCGCGGGCCGCGCCGCGACCGCGGACGCGGGCTGCCGCGCAGAACGCGGACGGCGGTCCGCGGCCCGCGCGGCGGCAGGGCGGCTTCGGCGCGGCCGTCCAGGGCGGCGCGGCCTCCGCGGAGCCGCTGAGCGACCTGCGCACGGCGTGGGCCGAGGCTTTCATCAGCGGGCGACGAATTCTGTGCATATCCACTGCCCCCTGGCCAGGCTCAGCCACGCGCAGAGGGGGAGGGGGGAGGGCTTCTTAGAAGCACCCCTGCTTCTTAGAAGGCGCGGGCCGTATCTATAGATGTAAGGCCGGCGCCTTCTAAGAAGCAGCCTCCTTCTAAGAAACCCCACCCCCTCCCCCTACCCCCTTCTGCGAGCCGCCAACAGGCCCTTCCTAGGCCCAGGAGCTGTGTATACGCTCTCTTGGCCAAGCCTGGAGGGCGTGGCGTATGCACTGCCGCTGAGTTCACGATGGGCCTGGCCAGCGAGCAGTTTACACGTATAGACTTAGACTTGGTCGCCCTGTCCATCAACGCCCCCAATCATCAGGACTGGGGGAGATCAGGTGTGGCTCCTGATTCGTGCATCGAGGGCCCAAACCAGAGTTGTTCCGGACTGGAGTTGTGCCGGATAGTTCGGGCGTCCAGCCAGAATAATCGGGGCTGGGGGTGGTCATGGGTGTCAGCCACGCGCAGAGGCAGGTGGGGGGAGGGAGGAAGGATTCTTAGAAGCACCCTTGCTTCTTCGAAGGCGCTGGCCTTCTCTGTAGATGTAGGACCAGCGCCCTCTAAGAAGCAGCCTCCTTCTAAGAAGCCTTCCCCCCTCCTGCTACCCCCTTGTACGCGCCTCCATGGGTGGCTCCTGATTCGTGCGTCGGGGCCTAGAAAGTCAAGGCATCGGATGTCTGGGTAAGGGTCGGCCGCGCGCAGAGGAGGGGCAGAGGGGGAGGCTTCTTAGAAGCACCCCTGCTTCTTAGACGGCACGAGCCTTCTCTGTACAGGTCAGGCCCGCGCCTTCTAAGGAGCAGCCTCCCTCTAGGAAGCCTTCCCCCCTCCCCCGACCCCCCTCCTGCGCGCCGCCAAGAGGGAGGGGGGGCCTGGCGGGGGGGGGAGGGCACTCACCCCTGATCGCCCGACTCGTCGCCGATCGGGGCTCGGATGCCCCAGCCTGCCCAGGAACGCCCGGCTTTCGCCGTCAGGGGCTCACCGGCGACGCATCGCCGATTCCAGGTCATCCCCCCCGAGCACCCCACCTGTTCTGACGTGCCAATCTCGAGGTACAAAAAACAGTTGCTGCGCTGAGACCAGTTTCGCCTGTGGGGCTCGTCAGTCCGCTGGTAAGCCGCAGATGGCAGCAGTGCGCGAGCGATCTACAATCAAGATGCGGTGGCACACAAGTCTGGCTTCTCGCTTCCCATCATCGGTGATTTGGATCCGTCACGTGATGCGAATCTGAGGAGGAGTAGGAGGAGGAGGAGGAGAAATTGGAGGAAGAGGAGGAAGATCAGGGGGGGGGAGGGAACTTCGCATGACGTGACGAAATCCCTCTGCCTACATCAGGCCTGCTGCAGGGGCGACCTCTGCTTCAGAGACCCGCAGCTCGCCGCCCTCGCCGCCTCCGCCGTTGGCCGCCTCGGGCGACCCCCAGCGGCGGCGGCCCACTCGGGCGCACGGCCGTCGCACGCGCTTGCGGCGGCGCTCGTCTTCCCGCCAGGCTTAAGTCTGGCATGTCCCTCTACAGGAGGAAAATTCCCAAATACTCAACAAAATACTCTGGAAGTGATTTTTCTAGCATCTGTTGACAATTTTCGAATAGTTGTTTGACTATTTTTTTATTTTTCGTCCAAAGCCCGCCCGTAGAAGGACACGCCCGACCTGACAACAGGCGGAGGCGTGGCCCTGGACCCGGAGCTGGCGCTGGCGCCGGACTTCTTCGAGTTGGGCGGCCTGGTCCGGGCGGCGCTGCCCGACTTCCTGGCGGACCGCGCCTGGACGGGGCGCATCCGCCTGCCCTCCTGGCGCCTCGCCGAGCTCCTGCAGCCCCCGGCCGAGAGCTGGCAGCAGCTCGCGGGGCAGGTGGCGGAGCTGGTCGAGCAAGTGGCGTGGCTGCTGATCGACCCGATGGGCAGGGAGTCGAAGCGGCAGATCGCCTCGCTGTCGCAACCCGTGGCCGCCCTGGGCGACGCGCAGGCCGCGGAGCACGGGGGCTGCCCGGCGAAGACCGCCACGCGCCGGCAGAGGAGCCGGCCACACGCAAGAGGGGCCTCTCTTTCGCTGGAGTGGCCTCTGGTGCGCGGCTTCCGGGTGGCGCGGGGGGGGGGGCAGACCCAAGCTCGCAGGCCGCCATTGTCCAATCGCTGGGAAGAACGAGCGGTTTGGGTTTTCCCGTGTGTGGGAGGCGCAGGAACACGTCGGATTCGACCTCGGGTTCTTTGGGGAGCCTCAGCTCGCCGCGCTCACCAAGGATCACTCCTGCCCGGGGCCACTCCCTGCGCGAGGCCGAGAGGAAGCGCGCCGTGGCCATCCGCCGTGAGGCGGCACTCGGCCTCGGCCAGGCGGCCTTTCGGGCGCCAGCGGGCGGTGCCGCCGGTTGCGCGGAGGACACATCTTGTCCTCGTCCTCCTCGTCCTCGTCGTCGTCCTTCTCATTCTCATCGTCCTCCTCCTTCCTCCCCCTCCTCATCCTCTTCCTCTCCCCTCCTCCTACTCTTTCTCTTCCTTTTCCATCCTCCCTCACTGCTCTCCCTTTCTTACTGGTCCTCCTCCTCCTCCTCCTCCTCCTCCTCCTCGTCCCTTTCCTCTTCCCTCCTCCTTTTCCTCCTCCTCTTCGTTTTCCTCCTCCTCTTCCTCCTTTTCCTCCTCCTCCTTCTCGTCCTCCTCTTTCTCCCTCCTCCCCTCCTCCAGTCTTCTCCGTTTTCTGCTCGTCGTCCTCCTCGTCTCTGTCCTCCTCGTCGTCGTTGTTGTCGTCGTCATCGTCGTCCTCCTTCTCATCAAACCACCACCACATCCACCACCACCACCACCACCGCCACCACCACCATCATCATCATCATCATCATCATCATCATCATCATCATCATCATCATCATCATCATCATCATCATCATCATCATCATCACCATCATCATCATCATCATCATCATCATCATCATCGCCATCACCATCATCCATCATCATCATCGTCATCGTCATCGTCAGCATCATCATCATTATCATCATCACCATCCTCATCACCATCATCGTCATCATCAACGTCGTCGTCACCATCATCGCCATCGTCCTCCTCATCGTCATCAGCATCAGCATCAGCATCAGCATCATCATCCTATTGTTCTTCATCATCGCCGTTGCCGTCACTACCATCATCACCACCACCACCATCATCATCACCATCACCATCACCATCAGCATCATCATCATCATCATCATCATTATCATCATCATCATCATCATCATCATCATCATCATCATCATCATCATCATCGCCATCACCATCACCATCTTCATCATCATCGTCGTCGTCTCCGTCATCATCATTCCCTACCTAGGCTCTGCTTAGAAGGGTTCTTACTCTCTTGGCTTAAAGGGCCGGGCAGTGGGAACCAGCCCGGGGCGGTTCCCCCAGTATCCGCCCCGCGGTTCCCCCAGCTGCGCCCCCTTAGCTTAGCTCTGCTTATCTCATCTTAGCTTAGCCTAGCTTAACTTTGCTTAGCTTAGCTTAGCCTAGCTTAGCTTAGCTTAGCGTAGCTTGGCCTAGCCTAGCTTATCTTAGCTTAGCTTAGTTTAGCGCAGCGCAGCATCAGCATTAGCATTAGCATTAGCATAGCATAGCGCAGCATAGCATAGCATAGCGCAGCATAGCATAGCGCAGCATAGCATAGCATAGCATAGCATAGCGCAGCATAGCATAGCATAGCATAGCATAGCATAGCGCAGCATAGCACAGCGCAGCATAGCATAGCACAGCACAGCATAGCATAACATAGCATAGCGCAGCATAGCATAGCATAGCATAGCGCAGTATAGCATAGCATAGCATAGCATGCACCGATCTGGGAGTTGCTGCTGCTGTACAATTTCGTGGGAACGTTCGGTGTAGCAAGTGTTGCACAACCTTGCTCAATGCCGAGTCGTGTGGTGTAGACCAGATACGGAGCATTCTCAAGCACACCCGGTGAGCGAATGCGAAAACATGCGTGTGTGTGTCTGTGCGCAGGCAAAGCAAAAACACAATCAAGCAACAACAAAAACAAAAGCAAAGCAAAAGCAACAGCAGAAGCAAAAGCAAAAGCAAAGGCAAGGCAATGCACAACAAAAGCAACACCAATGCGAGAGTGTAGATGTAGATGTATGTGTAGGTGTAGATGTGGATGTAGGTGCAGGTGTATATGTAGATGTAGATGTAGGTGTAGATATAGGCGTAGATGTAGATGTAGATGTGAGTCTCGCTGTTGATGTTGATGCAGATGTAGATGCAGGTGTAGATGTTAATGTAGCTGTCGGTGTAGATGTAGATGCTGCTTTCCTAGAAGCTCCAACTCCTAGGTAGGGTCGCACTGGGATCATCTTCATCACTACCAACATCATCTCCATCACCACCATCACCACCTCCATGACTACCATCATCATCGTCATCATCATCACAATCACCATCGCCATCTTCATCACCATCATCATCATCACCAACATCAGCACCACCATCATATCCATCACCATTAACATCACCATCATCAGCATCATCATCATCATCATCAAAATCATCATCAACAACATTACCATCAACATCATCATCATCATCATCATCATCATAATCATCATCATGTATCCGTGTTTTTTCTCTCTTGTCCTTCCCCTCTTCTCCTCCTCCTCTTCCTCCTCCTTCTCATCATCGAAAGAGCGCAAGCCGAGGTCCCTCTAATCGAAATGGGGGGGTGCTGGCACCCCCCCCCCCTCCCTTCAAGGGGGGGGGGGTTTTGCACATCCCCTCCTTGGAAAGGGGAGAGGGGGAGTTGGGAGGGCAGGTTTTGGGCTTTCGGACCTCTCCCTTTTTAGCGCCGGAGAATGCGGGAGGGGAGGGGGGGGGGGCGGACCTCTCCCCCTCTCCCCCCTTTGCGCCAGAGAGTGCTCGGGGGGGGGAACCTGTCTGTTTGGCCAGAGCGTCGTGAGCGGCACAGATTTCCACCGGGGAAGCTTTACCACCGTAGGGTTGTGACGGTTGAAGGCTTGAGAAGGCGATGTTGAGATCAGCAGATGTGCATCGCATCGTCATTTTTACAATGAATCTTGAGCGGTGCGTGTATCCATCGTGAAAGGTGTTGATTCGGCGTGCGCAGAAAAATGTTGCATTGGATCGTGAAGGTTGAGGGCTTCAGAAGGCAATGTTATAAGATCATCAGATGTGCGATCGGGACGTGGAGAAAGTATCTTGATTGAAGAGAATCGTGTGGGTTGAAGGCCTGACAAGGCGAGGTTCGGTCAGCAGATGTGCGCCGCATGGTGTTTTTCCCCAACCCTCCTGCGTCGGGCTCTTGTATTAACAGCACTGCGGTCGCGACCTCCTCCTCCCGCCCCCCTCCTCCTGTCCCCTCCTACCTGCCTGCCACCCTGCCTTCTATCTCGCCGTCCTGCCTGGGGGCTCGCTTGGAGGCTGCGAACTGCGAATCTATCGCACGGTCGAGGGCTGCTGGGGGGTCCAGCGGAGTGACGCATTACGCAGATGTACACTCGACCTCACCATCCCTGGGTGGCTGCGAACTGCGAAACTGTCGCCTTGTTCGAGGCCGCTGGGGGGTCCAGCGGAGTGAAGCCCTGGTCAAACCTAAACAAAGCCTCGCCATGCTTGGGAGTCTGCGAACGGCGAAACTGTCGCCTTGTTCGAGGGCTGCTGGGGGTCCAGCGGAGTGAAGCCCTGGTCGAACCTAAACTAGGCCTCGCCATCCTTGGGAGTCTGCGAACTGCGAAACTATCGCAGTTTCGAGGGCTGCTGGGGGTCAGCGGAGTGACGCCTTACGCAGACCTGGACTATACCTCAGCATCCCTGCGGGGGCTGCGAACAGCGCAACCTTCGCCAGTTTTGAGGGCTGCTGGGGGGTCAGCGGAGTGGCACCGTACGCAAACCTAGATTAGACCTCGCCATCCCTGTGGGGGCTGCAAACTGCGCAAACGTCGCTTCTTTTGAAGTCTCTGGGGGGTCCAGCGGAGTGACGCCTTACGCAGACCTACATTTGACCTCGCCATCTTTGGGGCTGCGAGTTGTGCAACCGTCGACACTTACGAGGGCTGCTGGGGGGTCAAGCGGAGTGGTGCCTTACACAAACCTAGATTAGGCCTCGCCATCCCCCAGGGGGGCTACGAACTGCGAAATCGTCGCCACGTTCGATTGTTGCTGGGCGGTCCAGCGGAGCGACGCCTTACAAACCTAGAATCGACCTCGCCATCGCTGCGGGGCTGCGAACTGCGAATCTGCGATATCGAGAATATTCCTAGGTAGCTGGAGTCAGATCGGGGATGTGCAGAAAAGCATGCTAGTTGCATAGGATAGTGAGTGTTGAAGGCTTGTGAAGGCGATGGTATCAGCAGTCGGTACGCACCGCATAGTATCTGCTCCCACCCACCCCCGTGTTGAGCATTCGTTTTGAATCGAGCATGGTGGTATCCACTCGTTCGCCTTCTCCTTCTCATCCGTCCTCCTCCTACCTCCTCCTGCGCTGCTCCATGGGTGGCTAAGAACTGTACAACTGTCGCCACTTTCGTGGGCTCCTGGGAGGTCCAGTAGAGTAGGGGAGTACGCACACCCAGCCGACACCTCGCAGCTCACTAGGTGGCTGCGAACTGGCCATTGTCGCAACTCTCGTGGGGTCCTGGATGCACGGCGGAGTAGGGTAGCACGCGCGCCCAGCCGAGACCTCGCAGCTCCTTGGGGGACTGCGATCTGCGCAACCGTCACCACTCCCGTGAGCTCCTGGGAGGCACGGCGGAGCAGGTGAGTTCGCATGCCTAACCGAGACCTCGCAGCTCCTTGGGGGGCTGCGTAGTGCGCAACCGTCACCACTCCCGTGAGCTCCTGGGAGGCACGGCGGAGCAGGTGAGTTCGCATGCCTAACCGAGACCTCGCAGCTCCTTGGGGGGCTGCGTAGTGCGCAACCGTCGCCACTTTCGTGGGCTCCGCGCACCCAGCCAAAACCTCGCAGCTCCCTGGGTGGCTGCGAACTGGCACCCGTCGCCACTTTCGTGGGCTCCTGCGAGGTTGAGCGGAGTAGCGGAGTACGCACGCCAAGGCAAGCCCTCGCAATTCCTTGGGTGGCTGCGAACCGTGCTATTGTCGCCACTTATCGTGGGCTCCTGGGAGGCACGGCGGAGTAGCGGAATACGCACGCCAAGGCGAGCCCTCGCAATTCCTTGGGTGGCTGCGAGCTGTGCCACTGTCGCCACTGATCGTGGGCTCCTGGGAGGCACGGCAGAGTAGGGGAGGACGCGCGCCCAGCCGGGACCTCGCAGCTCCCTTGGGGGCTGCAAACTGCGCCAGCTGGGACCTCGCAGCTCCTTGGGGGGCTGCGAACTGCGCAACTGGCGTCACTTTCGTGGGCTCCTTGGAGACACTGCGGCGTAGGGGAGTACGCGCACCCAGCCGGAACTTCGCAGCTCCCCAAGAATTGCGCAACCGTCGTCACTTT